TTACCTTTGGATATTAAAAAATAATGTTATACACTTTTGTGTATTTTAGAATTTATACAACTGTATATTTACTTTTGACTTTTTACAGCCTGTAGTGTTTGTTTCATTTTGTTGTAACTATAATTTTCAGCATTTTATACATAGTGATATTTTTCGAGATAAATATTTATTATTTATTTGGTTATGTTTAAAGAAAAAATTTAATTTTTTCAGTTAAAATTAAATGAAACAATTTCCTAATATTAGTTAACTGACAAATATTTTGATGGCTAAATAATGTTCTGATAAATTTATAATTACCAATATGTTTTATTACTTAATAATATTTTTGTTTAATTTAATTAAACTTCATGAGTTTAAATCTGTTTCCAAAATTTTTTTTTATTCTTTCAAATATACGTGATTGTTTGCCAATGAATGTTGACGCGATTGCTCTAATATTGTATATTATATACTTAAAATAATTCTTATTTATATTTATTTTTTTTTTTTGTTTTTACATATATACTTGTATAGTTGTAAGATTCAAATATATTTAAAACAAATCAAAAAAAATTATTAAGTTTCTAAAGATTAACTTTTATCTGCAAATTTACAGTTCTTTGAATTGTTTTAACTACCTATAAGATTATATAGTAATAATATGTAGATTTTAAATATTTGAAATACGCTGTGTCAGAAATAAAAAAAATGCATTAAACTATTAGTTATTTAGTTATGACTGAAAGTTTGGGATTTCGAAACAGGTATTAAATATTTAGTGATTGCATAATTAATTAAGCGTGGTTGGTAGTTTGAAATTGTTTATCATTGTTTAGTTGACATTGTATATTGTAACAAAAACCGTTTACATTATTTGGTTTTAAATTAATTTGATCGTAATCTATTACTTCTGTAATAATAATTATTCTATATTTATCAACGTTTCAAACTTGATTTGAGTTTAAAGTCTAGAAATTCTGGTCTTCAAATAAACAATATTTGAATATTCTTCTACTCGATTCAAGGTAATAACACTACTATAATAAATATACCTGCAGTCTAGTTTATATACCTATCAGCTATGCATGTGACACTATATTCGTATAACTTTCTGAATGTAAGTAATAAATTAATGAATTTACATTGAATGGAAACGCCCCAGCCATTAGATCATCCATTATTATGGCAGCATGTAAGACAATAGTAATTATTGATGACTTTTAATTTTACATATTAATTCATGATTTTTGTACAGAGGAGTTGCGTTATACATATTGTTTTGAATTTGGAGCGACTATAAACAAAATTTGAAATTCGACACGTTTACTTTCGATAAATGTATATAGGTACAAGAAGAATATATTAATATATCAATCATCATAAGTAACCGGTGGTGACAAAATATTATAATTATTTATGTCTACATTTAAGTTCTCGTGCACAATAGTTAACGTTTAAATGAAAGCAATATAAATAAAGATATACCTATTGAATCGAGTTATACGAAATACATTAACGCGTGTCGTTCATGAATTACAAATCGTTTTATTAGTCGTGTACATCAATATTATTACGTACATAATGTAACACCCGCGTACGGTTATGCTCTACACCTACAAAGCTACGAGTTTTCTTTTCTTATATTATACAAGGGGGGAGAAGTTAAGTGTCTGATATTTAATTGTCGATGTCATAAATAACTTTCCTTCGAAAGTTTAAACATATTTTTACTACGACTAGGAAGCACGACAAAGAATTTTTTTAATGCATTTATTTTTTCTCTTTGCAATGATTATTTTTATATTATCTCTTATTGCCGGACGGATGGGTCTCGGGAAATAAGTTTAAAGTTCGCTACCTATTTCCCATGAGTGTCGTGTCAAAGCCCAAAGGATAGTAACAAAAAAAAAAAAAAAAAATAGAGAGGAAATAATATATAACATACATGGATAAAAGAATTCTATTAAGTATTTCTCTGTATTAAACGTGCTTTGTGTTTGGTTTTATTATTTATTCTGTATTGATTTATATTACGCCTGCAATGATTCAATCATTATTATTTGCAGTTACATAATATTTCAATTTATTTTTCGTATGACCAATATTCATTCTTACGTTTATAAAATATAGGTATCATATTTTATAATTATAGCAATTGATAATATATAATATGAATAATTAGATGTAAACAATTTAAGCATTATATATTATATTTAAAAAAAATTATAAATATTATTTTACGTTGATGTCAATTTCATAACAAAGTATATGTACCAGATTTTTTAAATTAAATCAAATAAGTACAATTATTAATTATAAATGATTATATTATGGTTGAGAAAAAAATTAAAAAAGAAACGTTCTTCTGAAAACGTCAGTAATTATTAGAAGGTACTCAATTTATTTTATACATTATTATTACTATTATTATTATTAGTAGTAGTAGTAGTAGTAAATAATATTATTTTATTATGAACAATATGATTTACAATTTGTTATATGTTTTATTCAATGATTTAGAAATAAATAAAAAATCGATTTTATAAAACATTTTAAAATTTAAATAACAACAATAATAACAATACCATATAATATATAAAATTTAAGATATTTATTTTAAATATTGTAGGGTACGAAAATCTACTTAGTATTGTATTTGATTATAATTAAAAATGAGAGGATAGACAAAAAATGTGATCAATTATTTTCTTTTAGCTGCACAATGAGATTGGTTTATAAAAAAATAAAAGACTCAACAACTTTAAATATTTTTATATGTTGTGACAAACAAAAACTTTTTCAATAGGTTACTATTCATTTTCATTGTAAATGTTACGTTTTCTGGGTATATAAATAAATAAAAAAACTTCTTATAGAAAATCTACATTTATATTGAGTTGAAGTTTTACCTAAAACAAAAATTGAATTTTAGGTAGGTATAAAATAATTCGTCAAAAACTTGTTTTGAACTTTCAAAATAGGGTATTTTTTTAAATGTATATATTACAAAATTTAACAGCTTTTGTAGAAGTATTAAATTATTTAGTATTAACCCTAAACTCATCCTCGTTAATAAATTATATTTTATATTTAAAACTCTTTAAGGAATTTTTAAAAAGTCATTAAATTATTGAAATATTAAATTTTTATCGTGTTTAGTTGTGAAATTACACATCGTGTTTTCAGGGATGTATTAAATTATGGGAAATATTAAAAAGATATTTTATTAGCTTCAACCTACATAAAATGTATAATATACATATTTATTTATTAGAAATACTAAACGATAGTAATATAATGAGGAAATATTAATAAAAGTATAGTGAATTAAAAAAAAAAAAAAATAAGGCGTATACGATTTGAGTGTACAAATAGTCGTTAATATTTCATTGTATAAAGTCTATATTGAACCGATGAGTGTTATAAAATTCATTTAAAATGTCAAATGTCTATCAAATAATAAGGATGAAGTTTTTAAATAAAAAACGTGTACTTTTTTATTACAAATAACCTTGACAATTTCATTTAGTGATTAAAATTAAATACTTACGTGGATAAAAATATAAAATATACAAAATTGAATTAATTAAATGTCAAATCTTACTGATAAAAATCAGCTTCACATTGTATGCTTTGAAGTTAAGGGTAAATACAAATTGTGTGTTTGTATTGGTTACAAACAAGAATTATTAAAATAAATTATTTTAGTTTTTGTTGATTAGTTCTTATTGTAATGCCGCCGAAGTAAATAATATCATACCATTAATTTTATTACATTGGTTTTTAATTGAAAATAATTTTAAAATGGTGGAATTACACGCTTTGAGTTCAAATATATACTGCAGTATAATGGACATATTAAATCAATAAAACGATTTATGTTCATGATATCATATATTTTTTATTACCATTACCGTGTATTTGTGTACAGCTCCGAATGTATGTGTAGTGTATTAATAATAGTAATCTATTGGTACGAAATCATAATAAAATATAACAATTAAATGCTTGATTAAGTCGATCATAGATTGATTAAATAATTTATTGTGCATTGCATTTGAATACTTACATATAAATAAATTTATAATCGTATAACTAAAAGTTGTTTTTTGGAAATTGGTATATCTTATAATATATTTTATTTTAATAACGTAAAAATAATTAAATAAAAATGTCCTGTAATAACAACTAAAAAATAAAACGATGATTTATAGCAACGATAAAAGAAATATTATTTTAATATAATTATTTTTTCTGATACCTATTTTTAATAACACAATATTTGATTGTGAAGATATAGTTGGTTTCGCATATGTTAAAATTATAAAAACGTAGTTATCATATTGTGCAAAACCTCAATTCTAACACAAACGATGTAACATATATACCATTATGCTTATTACTATTAATTCTGCGAATAAATGACGTGTTGCAATTTAAATAATGTATAATTTATTATAATGGTGTCTAGCTATGTTTTACGAGGTTTTTAAAAAAAAATATTCCTATCCTTGTGCCTTCGAGTCAGATGGGTATTTTTTTTGATATACCTAGAAATAATAATATTACGAGCTTTTGTTGACTTCCAGGTGCAGACGGGAATTAATAGATCAATGATTTAAATATGAAAGAGGATTAGAAAAAAATCTTCTAATATTTGTGGAGGCGGTGAGGAAATGGTAGTTAATCATAATTTGGTGTAATAATACTATTGATGATACATTCGACCGGCAATAGTTTCACGGCCACCGTCTCCCAGAAAAAAAAAATATAATAATAATGATAAAAAAGTGGCGTATCGTTTAGGTATGTTTATAATACTTGCCAGCGCCGGGGACCGGTAGGTATATATATAAACTTTCTCCACGACTGGGATCGTCTCCTTTATTCTCGCGATCGTCCGAGAAATGTACTGCGCGAGTAGTATCGCGATTCTGTTCCGGTGATGTGATTGCAGTGTTTTTTTTTCTTAACGTTTATAGCTTAAAATTTAAAAAAACAACTGTCAACCGACAAAAATTAGATTTTTGTATTTAAGGCGCCGGATACATAATAATATAAGGTTAGTTTAAATTATGATTGTATTTTATTAGGAATAAGATGCATATTTTTTTTATTAAACAGCCATTTTCTTACTAAGTATAATATGTGCATTTTTAAATTTTATTTAAAATGTCTTAAACTATCCACACACACTGAAAAAAAATGAATTTTTGAGGATAAAAAAATTATATATATTATCTAATATATTATTAAATGTACGTTTAAATACGTTCGCACAAACCGATGTTAGCATAAAAAAAATTTTTTACATTGTGTGTTTGTCGTTTTTTATTAAATATTAAATGACACATAAACATATATTTTAAATATTATGATACTTTGGTAATTGATAATGTAGAAATGCAATACATTTTTCTTTTAAATTGAAGGAATAGATAGCTATCGTTACAGTTAAACGCGATGAAGACGATCGATTTATTATACATAATATTGAATAATATGTTTACATGACGATTCACCAAACACAATTTTTCCTTTAATAATATGTTTTATTCAAATTCTGATTTTTAAAATTTTTAAGTATCTATTTTTCATATACTTGGATTTTTACATAATTTAGGAATAAATTCTGAGAGTGAACCACCATTTTTTAATATAAATTGTTAATAAGGAGTTGATTTTTAAGAATATATTTATGAATTTAAATTTGATTGAATAATTATAATTTTTAAGTAATTAAATGGTAAACACTTATAATCCATAATAATAAGATACTGAGAACTATTTAATTCTTATTTATATTGAAGATATCTGTAATATTGACGATGTCGTCAATATTTTAGAAAATTTTATCCAGTGGGTGTTAATTATTTAAATAAATGAAATAAAAAACAAACTTAGTCTTTCCCTTTTAATTGTCTTTATTTGTAATATATTTTTAACGAAAGTATCTATTGCGCAAATAACGTAGTTAGATAGTAGATTTTCTGTTTTTTTTTTTTTTAATAAAAAGGAAAATAGTAAAATACAAAACGTGCTTGATAAACTTATGTAGGTAAGCGAAAACTATATATACACATAGGTATTTCATTATTATTATTTAACTTCCCAGTTTGCGTATTTTTTGCGTGTTTTTAGAATTTCACACTGGTCACGAATCACGTTTAATTGAATGATGTTACGCGTGTGGTGGTTCTCTCAGGGAACGTATAACGACCAGAAAATGAATAATTAGTAATCCCGCGTTTAAAATCGGTTAGCCATATAATTAGTCGTCGCTCTGTTGATTTTGGTGTTTCTCACCAAGACACTAAATAAACGAGCTCTTCACGTAACACAAATACTTCTAACTTCTTGTAATATTATAACATAATTATTATTCCCTATAGTTTATTGCAAACTGCATATATTTAATTTAAACATGAAAAATAAAATACATTGTATACATAAAGCAATCATATTCCATTCAAATTAACGTAAAAAAGAAATATATTATACTCATTGCACTGCAGCTATATACAAAATATAATATTATTGCCTTAAAAAAGTTTGGTAGTTGGTATTTGAGTGAAACAAAACGACAAATTTTCAGGTAAATCGTACCTGCTTTCGTCATCTGGACAATTATTATTATACACCCTATTCGTAATTAAACAGTCCATTGATTTTTTTTGAACATTAAAATTAACACCAATCTATTTAGTTAAAAAAGTTAGTTATTTCTTTCACGATTCTGCAGATATACCGAAAATGAATTAAACTCATCGGCATTTAATAAACGCCCATAACTAAATTAGGATTTATTATTTGATTTTTATACAAACTTGAAATCGGAAATTATCGCATTAAAACGCGAACGATGAGTTTTGTAATCGTCAGAAATAATTTCACTCATTAGTAGTTATTTTTTCGTTTAATATGCAACTATTGAGAATAATTTATTGACCAATATCGTAATACTCATATGAGAAGTAGTGTGATGTAAACGCATGCAATAAACATTTTTATTTTTTTATTTTTACATAGTAGGTACCTAGGTATTACAGTTACGATATTTTTGCTAACTATATTTAATAAAAAAAAAATAAATAAATTAAATGAAATTAAAATCGTTATTGTTTATTTATTTTTCATAGGAGGTCAATGTAGAATATTATATTATGCATTGTGTTTATTTACAAAATGTTTAACTTTGATGATCACCTGTGGTTTTTGGAGATATTTAATGAAAATACAAGTGAATTATGTGCTGTCGGGTTGGAAAGGATAGCTTGAAAGTTCTTTTATTGTTTTTATTGAGTCCGTTGACTATAATAATATATTAGTTAATCGTTGACGGGTGTAGAGGGGTGGAGGAATTGCGGAATCGATACACATGATACGTTGGACGGAGTCGGACGCTACTCGTTTAGTTTAAAAATAAATTCACACAGGCAATTTTTTGACAGCAAAATAATAATAATAATAATAATAATAATAAAATTAATAATTGATGGACGAATAATAGCTAAAAAAAAAAAATGATAACAATAACAAAAACGTCGTTATCGTGTGAACAATAATATCCCGCAGCAGTCGAAGTAGGATGACCGACATTTGTTGACGTCACCGCCTCCAACATACTAACACCACCTCCGTTCAGTATTCGTGTGTATATTATAACATACATTATATCATCATAACTACATATTGCGAGTGTATAATTACATTGTTTTTTTTTACATAAACTTTTATGTTTAAATGATAAAAATTACCATACGCGTTGTCTCATACTAGAGTGTCTAGAGTGCACATACGCTTCATATTGTAGGAACCTAATTTTAAATTCTCATGTTTTTTTAATTGTGATATTAGTTATTGAAACTAAGGAATAGCCGCCGCCACGTAGAAATGTGACTTGATATTATGGTATTATAATATTATTATTATAAAACCGATATATCATTATATATTAAATTATTACTTAAGTACCTAAAGTTTGCAAAATCTGAAGACGAATATGATTCATATACAACAATGGTATTGCAGGCGACAAATCGTATTTTTCGATGCTACACTATAAGTAGTATAATATTATGTAAAAATAACCGTTTTGATTCGGTAAAATTTAAATTTTTTTGTGTTCATGGAAGTACGGTCTGGTCATAAAGTTAACACATGACGTTATATTTACCTAACATTTATTTCCTAACGTGTTATCTTTAATATTTGCACGCGTGTGTGCATAACATTTTAAAGTTCAAATTTTCAATAATAAATTGATAAATATTTTTATGGATTGAATCATTTATATCGCAATATATTTATTAAAAAAAAAAGTATCAGGGACCTTTTTTTAAAATAAGGTTATATATGAATATAGAAAAAACACCTGCACGAATAAATATTATATTACTTAGAAGGAAAATGGTCACTGAAAACCTTAAGTATGTTGGCTTACATTTCTGTGGGTCTTGTGTGTAACCTCGAAATTCATGTATCACATATAGTTTTATGCAATAAAATGGCAAAACTCATTATACGGTCGTGGTCGTGAAATTTACGAGCCGAAAAGGTACAAAAAACGCAGCGCTACCCGTTCGGATGCTTTAAGTACGAAGTGTCTGTTTATGTAGTCGATGATATGTGTAATATGTATATAATATGTGTTATACACTTATATGCTATTGTATGTATAATGTGTATAATTTATATAAGTACGTACATAGCTTGAAATATTAGTAAAGTATTTTTATTGATAGTTTTTATAGTTTGCAGTTAGCACGTACCGTACATAATAGTTTATGAGTATATTAAGTTCACGAAGTATTTAAATAATTAAAAAAAAATCTTACTTTATAACACTTTGAAAAAAATAATTTATTGTCTGACTTATTGTGGTCGTCGTTTTAATAAGCTTTAAGATTTTTCTGAAAGTCGGAACAAAATACAATATAATATTTTATAAAGTTATCAAAAATCAAGCGAAATAATGTCAAATATGATATTTTATCTGTATAATTTAAATAATTAAACTTATCATGTAAAATAATATAAATTTTACTTTGGATTAACCCAATGGGCGTTATATAAAACCCATAGTAGTATATAACAAAAGTGCGTTTGTCGAATAATTTATGCAATATAAATATTTATATTACTATAATACTAATATTATGTAGTTCTCAAGTCACTTGGACAGTTGGAACACTCATAAGATAGTACTTAATAATACTTACTTCATAATACTTAGAACTTAATTTTATTTTCAATTTTTATACGACGGTTATAAAGTAAAGACTAATGCTCTTAAACTTATTTATATTATATTCACAACAGTATTATTTTCATTATGTCAATTAATAAATTTATCTTTAAGACATACTAAATTAACAAAAAAAAAAAAGTGATAATATTTTGTAGATACTTAATATAAATATATTTTGATAAAATTTAAAATAAAATTTGTTGGTTTAATAAAGTTATTTTTTCTGTTTTCATTTATTGAGCCACTTCTTAAAATTTGAAAAAAATCATGGTTGATAATTTATTTAATAGTGTAATTAATTGATAATAAAAAGCTTCGATTTTTAGATACTAAAATTAAATTATGTAGTAAGTTTGGTAAACATTTTTTAATATTAAAAATAAAAAACCATTTAGCGATCACTTCACAACTATTTTCTTTGTTCATAAAATTTAAGAATGTAAGTGATGTCTAGGAATAAATTAAACTATTTTTTTTTTAATACAGAAAAAATCTAATAGATAAAAATTAGTTATGGAGTCCTTATACAACGTTTTGCTTATCCTTTAATTTAATTTAAAATAGAATAATTTGACATCATAATATTAAATATAAAACATACTTGTGTAATGATAACGTAAACTAATTTTTCAATAAGAAGATAAAGTATTCTCTTTTTAATTTTTCAATGATTTTTATAACGTTATGGCTGATATATGGACGATATAGGCCCTAACAATATATCTATCATTCATTAAACAGACATCATATCGAGGTCACGCGCAAGCAAGTCATGCACAAAATTACACGATATTACGTATATTAAGAGTGGTATCTATTATAGACAGCTTCATTTATTGTTATTGTTATTATTATCAATATTTTAATACTTATAACTTATAATATTTTATCATAATGTAGCTGCATAATTGATTATATATTAGATGCTACTAATTGGTCCCGGCCTTCAAACGATCTTTGCTCCCACAATTAAATTTAGAAAATATTTAACAATTTTTTAAAATTTTTTGTTTTATAGTGAATTTCGAAGACGTCCAAAATGTTGTGGCAGTTTTTGCCCGTGTGCCTTCTGGTAGTTCTCGTCAAGGTAAGTCGATTATTGAATTAAAATAAACTATAATATAAAAACACAGTGACTGCTTGTTTATGTAAATTTCGGGGTCGAAGTTCAAGATCATATTTGATTGATTATTGTTTAAGAGGATCAACATTAAGTCGATTTATATCGTGAAAAGTGATTTATAATAGTATTTAATCACCTTGTTTTGTTAAAATATAATAATTTATACAAAATCTACATTTAAGTTTGTTCTTGACCACAAACTAACAAGTAACAACTATTTAAATTAATTTTATTTTTATAAATTACTAATATACTATAATAATTTGCATAGTACTTCTGGTAAATTTTTGAATATATTATAACTGGCACTCATAATTGAAATTTGAAGTAGACCAGATAATGGTAATATTATTTTCACTATTATTAACTGTTCTTTAAGTTCTCTTTTTCACTTAAAAGTTTGTATAGTGATTATCTAATAAAAAAAAAAAAAATATATATATATATATATATTGATCTTTGGTAAAATAATACTCGATGGTTCGACGTGAATCACGAGATGTATTGATTTCAATTATTGAGTATATCTATTTATATAAAAGGGTGTATTTTTGTATGTCTTTTTTTTTTTTTTTTTATTAATATTATAATTTATATTTTGATTTTGAATGAATAAAAATTAAAAAATATTTAAGTGTTCTCAAAATATTATTAACATTATAATTCCAACTCTTATTGCATGAGAAAAAGAATCAATTAAGTGTGTTAAGTTTTGGAAAATAATTTAAAATGTCAGTACACAGGTGTTGAAATTTTTTGATTAGAACCGAGGTTATAGAAAAGATTAAAGACACTTAAAAGATAAATGATTCTACAAAATAGTGGATGCCTATCATGTATATAATATATCTATAGAACGAGCGGACTGTTCGAGACAATATCTCATCGTATCATATTTGAAATTACTAACTAGTCCCACGGTTTTAGACACAAACATCTGAGAATAATAAATTAACCTTATACAACAAGGTACTTCCATTAATTTTTTCAACATTAGATATATTATTTTAATTAATTAGATTATTCAACTATTTGAGTGAATTGTTAAAATTAATTAGCTTAGTATTTTCAATTTATATTTTAAATGTATGTCAGTTGTAACAATGTAATATTATGATCACACCAATTCTATTTATAATAATTATATCACAATATATTGGATTTAAATTGTATATATTTTTCTTGGTTTTAGAATATTAAATAGTTCATATAAGTTAAATTAATGTTTACTTCATAGTTCATAGATAAATGTATAGTTAAGAATTAAGATTGATTATATTATCACAATTTTTTTATTTATGTACTACGAGTACATAATTGTAGTGCTTTAATTAGCACACTTAGTTTATACTATTACGGTGTTAAATATTTTCTTACATTTTAAACTGACACAATAAGACGTGTAATATTAATGCAATGTATATTTATCAAGGCATTATGTTTAAATCTTTAATAATTGTTAAATTAACTACTCATACTTTTTATTCAGAAAATGTTAATTAAATGTAAATAGGAGTTTCTATAACTCGATAGTTGTGACTCCTTCTTTTTTGAAATAAATTTCATTAAAAACTAATTTTAAATGTTTTAAGGGAATATATTAATAACTTACAGACTTTCAAACAGATGTTACATAGATATAAATAAAATAAATTAAATTGGATTTATAGTATTTCAATTAAAATTAATTGAATTCTAAAAAATGATCAATTTTTAATATTAGTGTTGATTAAAAATCTTGATTAAAATTTTTATTGTAAATTAAACACAGTTAATTGTAATTAATGGTTATAGAAATAAAAGAAATGGTAGAAAAAATGAAATGTATATTGTTTGCAGTATTTTAAAATTACACTGTAAAAGTTTTTAAGTTTGTTATCTAAATTATTAATTCAGAACTATCATTATAGTTTGATTGAAGTTAAAAAAATAAAAACTTATAACAATATTATATTTATAGAGAAATAAAATGTTGTAATTGTTAAATTCGTTTGATGAACATTTAACAATTTATAATATAGTTAACGTTTTTAAAAAAGAATATAATTAATGACATGAATTATTCTTTGAAATTTTAATTATAATATAGAGAATTATATGTCATTTGATTTATTACCAATATAAATTATAGTTACCAGTAAAAATTATAGTAGGTACTTTCTAGTTTCTATAAATTATTAAAAATTTAAATTCAATTACGTATAACGTGCAATCGTGTATTGTCTTATAATATGAGTTATATGAAATAAAATTACAGGCATTATAGTATTATCTTTAAATTGGATTCAAAGTTTTGATATTTTGAAACTTTCTCTACTATTCTTCGATAATAATTATTGAAAAACATCATTATAATTAAGAGTTTCACTGTACAGCGGACAAAATTTAATGGTATTTTGTTTCACGAGGACTTAGGCGTTTGAAAAAAAAACTCAGAATCGTAGTTTATTCGGTCCAAACAATTTTGACGATTCTATCGTTATTTTACTGTCTTTACTAAGCAGTGCATTATATTGTTTTATTTTTGTATGTATTTTATACAATCGTGAGAAATTATATCGACCATCTAAAACCACAAGGTAACTACGCCACAGCGTTTTCGCGTTGTAAAAGTGTTATGCTTATGATATTATTATATGTAATTTGTGTTGCGGTACTTTACGAGCGGTTTTTATGACGATTTTTAAAAACTGTTTTTTAAATTTTTTTTACGATATATCACATTTATAAGTATCTACTAACGACCGATGATCGTGACAATGTACTTCATCGTGATGACAAAGCGTCATTATATATGTTTGCACCGGCCATCCGCACGTACGTACTAACATTTTTGTGCTCAGTCGTTTAGTTTGTTAGAAAATAATATAATAATACCTATGTCATATTGTTACAATGTAATGGGCGTTCATCAGATATTATGAAACATGTGCGATGCGACAGGGAATGTTGTTATACAATTTGAAACTCGAAATCACTGAGACAATACAGCATACTAAATTATAGTATATAGATCGCATTATGTTAATTGTTATATTATAGAAATAACGTCTAAAACGCCTCCGATACATAGTAATGTACGATATTATTATTATTATTATTCTAATTGGTACTTTAATAATCCTTTCGCTTTCTCGACGTGCATTCACACGCCTCCGACGTTGCAGCTCCGCGACCGATCATCACTATGCGTTGTTTTAATAAATTACGCGCCGCATGCCGTTTATCTAGGCAGTAGATATACCTACCTATTATAATGTAGATTAATGAATTAATTACATGCAGTGGCTGTCTGTATAGAAGATGTTTCGCAGATTAACCGGACTTGATATAATTTACTCGTTTATTAGTATTCATTTTAAAAACTATATAATAAATTATAATAAATATATGCGTCTACGTGTATTGAAGATGCAAAACAAAATAAGTGTTTAAATGTCATAAATAATTATTTTCTTTTATGATGGCTTTGGAATATGCGTTTGACAGACAAATATGCAAATGTATTCATCCCTATGATTGCATATAAAAATAATACGATCGTCGTTAAACGAAGACTATCGATGTCAACAGCTACGTAATCTGGAAGGTCTGCTAACCATACAGATTTTGTAATGAAATTGGTCGATACAGTGCAATAATGATTACTCGCACATAAATGTACAATTAGTGCTGTCGATGATATAAATATACGGCGTTTGTCGAAACGAGCAGTCTAACCAGTGTTAGTTTATAATATGTAAAATAGAATCTTAACCTACAATGAAAGGGGTGATTATTCACAAATGGATTAGAATTTTTAAGAAACAGCAAATACGATTGAGTGCAATGGTATTAACGTATTAAGATAATTGTTATTTTTTTATTTTAAAAATATCAGTTGTAGAATACATTTATAATTATCATGGTTTAATATTATTACGTATATGGTTATAATTAATAAATATGTTGATGTGCAATTTACTTACAAAATTAAAGTCCTTAATAACATAACAAAAATAAGAGTCATTCATATTTACCTTAATTATTGTAATCTATAATTAAGATTCTTATTGAACGGATTCGGATGTACACGATAGTGTGCAAATATTGTGTACAACGTGACTTCGAGTTAATTATGCAAATATATAAGTTGTTAGCTAGAATGAGAATATTTTATTTGTAATACCATAAAACAGTAGATCTAAAAAGCTATCCAATTTATGATGACGAGAAGTTGTATAAGTGTATTGAAATTCAGATTGTCCTTTCAAAATTTTTACATTATAAAACGTTTTAAATAAATTCAGAAAATCTATGTTTATTAAAATTTTTGCGAAACTTGTTAAAAAAATAAATAATCTTAATTAGAAATAGTAAAACATCAAAATCATAATAAAATTTATAAACATAAATAAATAGAAATCTTGCTTACCACGAGAGTTTAGAAAATTAATGTCTGAAGTTTATCCTTTATAATGTACATAATATTTTAACTGATATTATGACGTTAAACTATTTAGCATACACTAAACAAAGTACTTTGAGTTTGAACTTTGTGGCATTTCAAAAATATAAATAACACTGAAAGACATTGAAAGGATTAACAAAATTTTAATACAAATATCTTTACCATAAATTATTATTATTATTTATTTAAAAAAATCCAAATAAAGTTAATTATTAATAATATGAAATAAAGTTTTCTCCAAATTGTGTTTTTATAATATGTTTTATCCAGTAGTGGGTATATAATTATTAATTAAGGGGCACTTTTGTCCATCCCTTTTCAATCACGTCCGGGGTGAGTTGACGCAAAACGTATATAGATTGCTAAATTAATATTTCTGATGATGAATAAAGAATACATTAATATCATAATATATACTATATAGTATATAGTAATTAAAAGATAAGAGAACACTGTAAAAATAAAGATTCGATACAAATCATCTCCAGCCTGCTGAGGTGATATAAAATGATCC